ATGTGAATGTGAAAAGCATTCTGAGACAGCGGCTCACGCATGTCTCGGTTGACCCGTTTGAGATTTAATGATTACATTTAACAATAGTAGGGAATCATGACAACATTAAATAATTTTACTCTCATTAAATTCCTTTCGTCGACCAAATTCCGGTGGCCACTAGATACATATTTTTTTTATTTCTTCTTTACAGTGTGGCATTATTAGGACCTCATACACGTAAAAGAATTTTGAAGGATCAATCTCACTACGAACCAAATCTGTAGTCGATCACTTGATCGATATTAGCGTCAGTGGACTGAGGCGGTTTTGATCAGTGAAGCTTCCGATGTCTAGTGGACCAAATCGCTGCTGGTTCTATCCTGCTGGGGCACACACACGAAGAGGTCAAATATTTCGTTACATACGTACAGAAGCTCTAAAAATATATAATATGTTAAATAATAAAAAATATACCGTAATCAGCTTAAATAATGAAAATTTTTTTAGTAAATTTTAGATTTAATTGTTAGATTGAAAGCATATATTCAGATTTGTTCCCTTTACTGGATCCGCTTTGTCCAGTTTTCCGTATTTTTATAATTTTAAAAAATATTCGATGTCCATAAATGACCCATTTGTTTCTTTTGGATATTATTCATCTATGCTAACATATACACAACAACAACAAACCGTCGGCAAATCCCTTGTGGATTTTAAGCTCTCCTAAAATATCTTTCCCGGAATCTAAGTCTTTCCGATTTCAAAGGATTAATCAATTAACGGAAGTGCCAATCCCCTCAAAGACATGATATTTGGCAAATATGAACTATCCGGTCTTTAAGTATGTGGGGATCAAATTATCTGTACCTTGACAGACCCAATCGGTGGATGGCGATGGTAGGACAAATATTTTTAAAATCCTTTCCGTGTGGGATCCTGTTTGTTGAATCTATTTTTTTCTGAACAAGTTGTGAAGCACCTTCTATAAAAAGAATAATTTCTCAAAATCTTACGTCTTCAATTGTAGTTTAAGAGCTCATAGACCCACAGAACAGAGAATAATTTACTCTTTTTCAATATGGTTGATTTGCTGAAAGTCGCAGTTCTTTTGTCGATTTAAAACATATTTATAAAAATATGTTTATCCTTATTGATTGGTATTATATTATCGTCCGTTACACCTATTTTAACGCTGTAAGAAACTTATAAATATTTTGATTTTAATGAATAACATTGTCTTTTTCATTTTGTATTCGTATAATTCTAAATTTTTCACTATATGTCACAATTTTTTAATATACCATTTGTCCAGTATTTTGCTTGCACGCTAAAAAAATGTCAGACCAAGAAAAATATGTTCAAATATACTCACAAAGAAATATACCATTGATGCTCATCTTGAATTAAAAAAAATTCTTTACTTAAATTAACATTTCCTTGACGCAATAGATTTTACTTCAAGATTCAAGATTATGCGACGTGAACATAAAAGATAAATTTCTTTACTCATATATAAAAGTATTGTTCTTAACTCAAGAAATATTTTTTACATGTCTAAAATAATACGTCGATTGGCTTTTTTCTTTAAAACTATATAAATAGAAGGACATATAACTGACAATTACTATATGTAGATATGTATATTTTGATTTACGTTTGTTAACTTGCTCAATGAATTTCTCTGTTTTCAACTTACTGATGACAACTATCTATTCTGACGGTTCTAAAAGTGAGTGTATTGGACTAAAATCCTTACAATTTGTTTTAAAGCTTATGTCGCTAAGCGCGTAATCAATTTCACAATGATTTTCCACCATCTCGAGAAGTTTTCCTCATCCACTGAGGGGGTGTTCTGTCACACACCATTAACTCTGACATTTTTCCAAATCATGGTTCTGTGCTATACATGGAATCAGCATGCATAATTGGCTTTTTATTATAATTTTTTATCATCATATATAAGCTGACGCTTATGCATTGCCAAAATTTACTCTAAAATGCAGACACTGTTCAACTCAGAGTGATTAGAATAGGGATATTTCTTTGAAATTTTACATTTATGATTTTGACATATCAGGTATACTTGTTACGATATCAATTGGAACCTGTGCTGTAGCCATTATCTGTTTCGTAATTTACACTCGAATAGCCATTGGGTGAGTCCGGTATTGATAGACCAATCCGCCTATTGTAGAATCGACGGCGGCACCCTGGTCGTCAAAGCAAACCTGTATTGGTCCACTAGGTCGTAAATAATTTTTTGCATGGTATTCTATAATTAGTTTAGTGTCGAACGCTGTTCACTTGGTTTTGCCAGTGCAGTGGAGAGCAGTGCTTGGCGTTGTTGTTTGTTGGTATAATACGTACCTATTATTAATTATTAGTTAATATTATTATTTCTTCATATCGTAATAGTTATTAAAATAAATATTATATATGTAATTATCTAATAATTTAGCATGGCTTTCTGGAAAATCCCCAAATAGTCGAGCCGGTTTTTGTCGAAAGCGTCGAAACAAACTCGATAACGACTCATACTCCTGAATTTTTCAAAAGACTGTCTGGATATATTTACTTTTATTTTAGAAAATTTGTAAATATTTGCTTATATATAAAGATATTTCTTTAGCATACCTATAATATAATATAGATATATGACATTTAAAAAATGTTTATGAAAAGCTAGAATCAGTTTAAATTAGCTTAATAACTTAAAAATTGTAATATAAAAATTCAGTATATTCTGTTTCAATCCGAAACAGTATTTTTGTCACCAACTTTTACATTTTCTATGTAATAGTGCTTTTTAAGATTTAGACAAAACATCATTTAACATACTGTTATTCCCGTAATTTTCTATTTTCATTGGTCATAAACTGTGCATAAACATATATTATTAATACGAGTATACTTACCTTATGGTTTGTACCAACAAATTATCATATTAGCAAAACTGAAACCAGAATGTATATGCATAAATTTGTTTCATTGCTTCCATATTTAAATACATTAAATTATCCATATTTAAGCACATTAAATTCACTTGAACTAAATTCAGGTCTATCGCATGGCTATCAACCTACATGATATAGTGTGATATTGTGACATCGTAATCAATGGTATTATGGAAAACAACTACTCTGCGACCTAAAATCCCTTCCAGCATTAAATTACACCCGGAATATCCAGCAAACAGATAAGTTCATTCATAAGTAGAACCACCAAATATAGATCAGTTTCGAACTTATTCGACAGTTCGGAATCAATTTATGATTTGTGATTCTGCTAAGAATGATCTTAGCTGTCTAATAAATTAATATTTCGTTCGTAGTACCTACAGATTAGCAGGTCGCTGTCTGCCAGTAAAGATTGAATACAGTGACAATTAGGATATAAGACACCATTTAGGTGATATGTCATAAATATCCAATAAATCTTTAGATTTTGAAAAAAAAATTTTCACTTGATTATCAAAATTTAATTTTAAGTCTCACAATACAATTTTTACTACAATTCTGAAGAAATGTTTATTCTCTTCCAAGTAAATAATTTTGTGCAAATATGTTTTAGCTCAACTTTTTTAAGCTAAATGATACATATCATTTGTTATATGTGATACATCTAAAGAAATGTACCTAACAGTTATGAAACAATACCCATCAAAATCGAAAAAGATACTGTTTCGTTGACTAGCTTGAATCATTGAAAGCAAATAAATTTTGAACTGATTATCCGCTCTTATTGTAAAGTTTCCCTTAAATAAATTAAATGCTACTTACTTTGTTCATGGAAATTTTGCCCAAATATATTTTCTCTTTGTTAAATTCAGAACATCAGCCCGAATTTTCTCACTTCATTAATTAATCTACTTAAAGAAATACTTAAGTAAATTTTATTGATAAAGTTTTCGAAAGCCTTATTACAGCCAGAATGGTTTTAATCGTGTTTATTTTATTCATTTTCCATCACGGAAAAGGAAATACAAAAGGATGATGTGTAACTTCAGAATTCAAAAGATACATTTTTTTATGTTAATACAATATTCAAATATACACCTGGTTAGATTTCGTGCATGTATTTTTTCATATTTGTTAAATATTAGCAGCTTTCTAGCAGCTTTTTCCTGAAACATTGGTTAAAAGTTAATAAGTTTCAGTTTTGATTCACATTACATACATTTCGAAGAACTACCAATCCTCACTGAAAAATTAAATTAATAATAATAAAGATGTTATTTTTACTGTTAAAATTCTATATTTTATTTAAACAGTACTGTGTATATTCTATATTTCTTCCAATATGTTTTCATTCCAATTTTTATTTTTAAAAATGTCATATATTATATCTTTTGAGTTGTCCTAGTAAAAAATCCAATAAAGAAACATACTTTTTAAGCAAATTTTAAAATCTAAAGCGGATACCAACTCAAAAAATACTAAAAAAATATCATGTAATAGGTATAATACACTATTATCAATTATTGTACACTTTAACCCCGTCGCTTCGGCTAGTTGTATCTATATGTAGAACCTTTTAATGATGTTTTTAAATATATATCAGAATGTTTATTTATTTTTATATCACTCTGATATTACTTTATATAAAAGCAAACATTTAGTTATCGATAAATTTTAGTGTTTTGAATACACAGCAGTTTATTGAAACGAATAAAAATATTTTTACACACTTCAAAATACTCTGCCCTTTCTTTCTTTTTTTTTGTGATTCGCGGTATATCTCAACGTTGGCAATGGGCTAATTTAACTTCCGGATGTATGCAGAACGCTAGAAAGTTGGAACTTCATTAGATGAAACAGTTTTTAATAAAGGAGTACAAGTCCATGCGTGAAAGTTTTATAAGGAATCAAGTCGAGGTAAATTCTAAAAATAGTATGGACATGGTGACAGTTTCAATATATTGTGCTGAATTTTATTGAAATTTCCAGGTTTCTTAAAAGTGCAGTTAACTCGAACATAGGTGAGAAAATAAATACAAAGAAATAAAAAAGTCGACTTACAATATTTACTTTTCTCGGCATTGGCAATGAAGGGCAGGAAATTGAAAAGAACACACGCGGAAATCAAGAAAAACCACGGGGGTCCAGGCCCCCTGCTTATAAACGTCATATCACTAAATATTCACGTTTCCCGCAAACATGATACGGTAGTTTTGAAAAACTAAGTCACTTGAAAACGTACCGGAATATTCATGTTTTCAAACTGGCACCACACCGGATTCGCGCGATTCAATCGAAATGTATGTATTGCTGGACACTTTCCCGATATGACAATGAAAACTTGCTTTTTGAGAGTTAGAAAAAACCACTTGATATGTACAGAGAGTGTGGAGTTACTCTAGATATGTGTAGGATGTTAGTAACGACAAGAATCTGTAGTTTGTGATTTTGCACGCGTTGCCCGCGCATAAACCTTACAAAATCGATGCCGACGCCGGCGTAGCCGATATATTCACTACACTCAGAGAACTCCTTCGAGCAAAACTTGCGCAACGTCGACCGAGAATATTTAATACCATTTTTTTAACGACTAGTCCGAAACGCTATGGCTGAATCGTGAGAAAGCGTAGAAAGGTCATATGTTTTTACTATATACTTATATTTTTTTTACCAAATTCGAGTTCAATTCAAATTTCATGTTGGAACTTGTTTCGTGTTCAAACTCAAAATTTGGTGTTGTACATACTATATCAAACATCTTGTTTTAATTATCAGAATGTAATTAATATATTAACAAATAAGAATGCATATAATTCAATGAAGCCATCAATTAAATAAAAAATTTTTACACCATTTTATAACATTTGGCAAAACCTTATGGGTGCAGTAGTCCATAAAATTGAGGTCATAATAAATATTAGGTACTTATGATAAGACAGATCTCGTTGTGTATTCCACGTAGAAACAAATGCTTGAAATTAGATCTAGGCCTTCTAAAATAGGAGGGTATAAAATAATATATTTATATATTTGTAGAAGACTTCGGTACCTACCTGCTACTAATGGATTTAAACCCAGTAAAAACAGTGGTGCCATTTATTAAAGCTTTAGGTCCTAAAATAAATCAGGCATCCTGTATATTATAAAGTATTTCTATAAATTTACAGTTAAAGTAATAATAAGTAATTTCATGTAAAGGTGTTGACCACCCAAAACTTTTTTTAATAATTATTATTGTTTACAATATTATATACTTATATAAACAAAATATAGAAAGCGATCTACAAGATGTTTTGGAAAAAGTAAAATAAATTCAGTGATTGACAATTTCAAATGAATTTTGATCTTGAGATACAAGGCTAAAGGTACAAGGTATGAACTCCAAATTTCGCGTTCCAACTCTAAATTCTTTATTAGAAATTGAATTCTCTTAAACAGAAAAAAGCTGAAGATGGCCTACGCTTTCGTCGGTTATACACTTTTTAATTTCACAAATTACTTATAGAATATAATGATACAATTTATAGATAAGTTAAGGTTTTCATAAAATACGTATTTTTTTGTCCACAAATATTTAATTTATTAAATATCAATCTATATCAACCAGCCACACATGTGTAATATACATATTACTGTAACCCAGAAAGATAACCTTCATTTAGTAACCTACTCAGAAATTACAATTCCACAGAAACAAAAAAAAAACTTATTCTTCAATATTCTCGAATTCGATTTGTACATATTCGTGTATTACTGCATATTGACTATGGACTAAAGATGGCACATACCAAAAACCATACAGGAAAATGATACAGACGGAGTTTACAGTTACAATTAACAGTCATGTACTTCCTAGAAGAATTTTAAACCTTTTCGTTGTAAGTAAACATAATCTTCCTTATTTCATTAATTTATAATTTATCTTAACGAAAGTTACTGACCAAAGAAAACGTATTGGAAATTATATCATTGCAAACAAAAACAAAATATATAAAGTCAATTTTTTACATAATAAAAACAAAGCAAATTGCTATTTTTTAATACAAACCCTTCCAACTGCAATTTTAGAAAAAATATTCTGCAATTTGCATAAATATTTAATTTAAAAATTATGCCACTAATGAGATACTCTTTTCCCGACAATGATATATCAAATTCATAAATTCATCTAAAAGTGTCTTACGCATTATTTAAAATATCGTATCAATTGTTGAAACTACCTACAACAGTTCGTTTTAAAGAGTGGACAATTATTTGTGCAAGAAAATTGTATTTTTGAGCAAAAATTTTCCGATTTCATTAAAAATTCAAATTAGGTAAGTTTGTGATAAAAAATTACACGATATTAATTTATTTTTATAAATTAAATATCATTGTGCGCATTTGGAGCGAAATATGATATACATTTCTCTCTGTGTACAACCTCAACAGCGGTATCTACATCAGAAGGGGTAAACTAGCCCCTTTACTATTGGATTTGGAAAACATGTATATTTATTTACAGAAAATCGTCGGCACATGCAGACGTTATGAGAGTATTAATTACATTTAAATCAAAGTGTTTTGTTTAAATGATGATAAATGATTTGACCTCTGTGCAGATTCAGTGCACAAGTGATATGTATAACTTGTTTGAGAAGAGTAAGTGTTATAAAGAGTAAGTTTTATCATAAATTAATACAATATGGGTCACGCCATGCTATTAGCAATTGGATCAGATATGTAATACGAATAGAATAACAAATACTGGGATTATTATAATTTTCTTTTATTCAATTTATATAATATTAAGTTATTAAAATATATCAAGTAGGACATCTCTTAGAATATAAGCCTGTATATATACCTAATGGCTCTAGACAACCTATGTACGTATTACAATTAATTTAACTCTCTAGCTAATAGCGTAACGTGTTTGAAGCAGAAATAAAAATAAAAAATTCTGCTTTTACGTACTATCCTTGTTCGTGACATGATCTTAACAAGGGCTATACACTAAAGGACGTAAACCAGCTACTACCCTTCTACTGCCTAATATATTGGAGATTTTATCAAACACTGTACTGTATCTGAAATGGCCAAAGTTTAACGACGGATTGAATTGAAGAAGAAATGCTTCATTTTCGAAATAGGGTGTTGAAGTTTGAAAAATATATATTTTTTAAAAATAGGCATCATACAAGTTTGTTATACACTTAATTAATTCCAGAGATAGTCATAATAATTTTCGTTGCCAATTTTAATATTTTTTCGAGCTGCCTCAAGTTTAACTTACTATTATGTGTAAGTACTATTGTTTATTGCAACCAAATGTTTAATTAATTTTGAACACCCTGTTTATAAAAACGAATCATTTGCGGATGGGTGTTTATACAGGTAATTTGTAAAGTGGTATCCACCATTAAATTATGGTAAAAAATTTCAGTTACACTTATATACAAAAGTAAAGAGGACACTTTAATAGCAAATATTTTATTTAAAGGAAACCATAATCAAATAATTTGTGTGCCCTTTAAATACTGTAATAAGACTGTATAATCGGAGTAGAGCAAGGAAATATGGGTATTGATTTTCTGACTAAACCACATCCAAAATTATTTAAATTGATAACAATACATGTATGTAGAACATAATTTGAAAATCAATAAAACAATACTTAAAACATATTCCATATTATAAAAAAATACATCTTAAAATTATCAATTAAGTTATTGCTCGAACTTACACCATAAAACAAGCACAACCTTGACTAGTGAGATAAAATCACTGACGTATAATTAAAACAATTGAATCAAATTTTAAAAAATTATTAAATTACTAGTTACATAATTTTCTATGAGAAAACTTTAATACGTTTGGTCATCTTCAAAAAAAAATATTTAAACATGTACCTAAGTCTGGAGCTGCCAATTTGTAATATCTGATACAAAAAGGAATCTTAAAAAAAACTTGACAACAAGAAAAGGATAATGTACTGGGTGTTATCATTAAAAATCACTATCCCAACTATTATAGTTACATGTGCTAAAAATTGTCTTTCAAAAAAAATCCATTTTTTGCAAAACGAATAGTTTGGTATTACTATTAAGCAGCTAAAAGTGACATACTTTGTAAATTATATCTCCCCCACACTAATTCAAGAATATCTTACTATTATGTTCAAAAAATGATCTCTAACTGAAAAATGGTTAATTTTCGAATAAAACGCGAAATATGTTTGTTAGAAATACTAACAGGAATTAAATGCACTGCAAAATACTTAGTTGTATCAAATTTTAAAATTCCTTACGACAGTGCCCCTCAGTATCTCTACCACTGATACACAATTTTGGGTATCTCAAAAATTTTTTTTCCATAAATTGGTAGCACAGGTTAAATCAATATACGTCAAATATCTTAAGGTATAATCGTGACCTTTTTTTTAAATTGCAGCAATATACCTCGAAAATGAAGAGTTCTAAGACCACTGTTGTTTATGTAAGTAATTTTTTTCTTAGAAAAAAGTCTTCTATCGACTGTTAAAGCTTGACTACACAATATGATTTACCGTGTATACTCCTAGTAAATATTGAAATGTCTTAGTTTCTTATTTACGTAAAATATGTGTAGGTGCATAAGATTTTGTAGTTAAAGTATATTGCTATTGTTTAGACTAGTTATACTTCTATACGCCAAAACTTACTGAACCATTTGATACATTAAATGACACTTATATAAATTCCCCGGAAGAGCTAAAAAATTCCACTTACGTCTAGGACCGTGCATTTGTTTGAAGCCGGTTGTCACTGAAACTGTGGTAGTATGTTATTTCAATACGTCTGTTGTATATCCTTTTTCTCAGATTTCTCAAATTTAACATTGTTAATTTATAATTTAAGTAATCATTACCTCCAAAATATCTGAGAGCATTGTCGAATCCACCGAATATTTATATTTCCACAAAAAGAAGTATAACATGTTTTCTCTTATTTCCCAATTTCCATAAACACGATTCAGTTATAATGAAACAATCATAAATAAAAACCGAAACATCAGAAAAAGTTTTCTGTTACTGTTGTCTTTACTTAACTGTGTAAGGCATCGTATATATTTCTAACTACTGTTCAAATAATAAAAATAAAATTATGGACATTAAAATTAAAACAACTATTGACATAAGCCAATCAATAGAGGTTTTGTGTTGTATTTTTTCAACTTCAACACCCTGCATTTCACCAAGGGAGGACTTTAGTCAATAGTTATATGTACCTACTACTAATTTTAAATCTTCTATCTGCTGGCGAAGTTTGTAATGTTATTTTTGATACACCCGTATATCCGCTGCCCCTCATACCCCGATCTTGTCCCACTATTCGACCTCGTACGAGGGCTCGTCCGTCTTGAGCATATTCGAAAGGATTTGTCACCTATTTCGCACCATTTTA